TTTTTAGGTTACTTGCGAGCTTATGAGAACTCGATTAGGTGAATTGGATGAAGCGCCTCCGCTTGCGGTACTTCCTATATATTCGCAGTTACCTAGTGATCTACAGGTAAGTCAATATAAATTTTCTTTGATGGAATTTGCTCCGCTTGTGCAGTTCGTGTTCAGCTGAAAGGATTCCTGATTTTGTTTCGTTATGAGGCTGAAGAAGAATAGGCTGCAGTCGTTTTCCATTTAGGCGAAGATATTCCATCGTGCACCAGGAGGAATGCGAAAATGCATAGTTGCCACCAATATTGCTGAGACTTCCTTGACCGTAGATGGAATTCTGTTTGTCATAGACCCAGGTTTCTGCAAAATGAAAGTCTACAACCCGAGGATTGGTATGGATGCGCTTCAGGTACATATCATTTTTGCATAAATACGAACTCCGTCTCAGTTTTGCAACTTCAGATCTTCCCCGTCTCGCAAGCCTCTGCCAATCAGAGATCAGGTCGTGCCGGTCGTACTGGACCTGGTCAATGCTTCCGCTTGTACACGGAAAGGCAATTTAAGGAGGAAATGCTTGTGAGTATCTTTCACGTTCCCTATGGTCCTTATTCTTCTAACTTGTCAGCTATCGGTGCGAATTGAAACAGGAAGAATATCAATGATTTAGGTCTCAACAGTCCCTGAAATCCAGCGTACGAATCTCTCAAATGTGGTTTTACTGCTGAAATCTCTCGGTGTTGATGATCTTCTCAAATTCCATTTCATGGACGCACCGCCACAAGATAACATGCTAAATTCCATGTACCAGCTTTGGACATTGGGAGCACTTGATAACACTGGACGGTATGCTTGACTTTTCATTTGTTGAGTGAATTCAATTCTTGAATTTTCTTTCCAGTCTTACTGATTTGGGAAGAACAATGGTTGAGTTTCCGTTGGATCCGACCTTGTCAAAAATGCTGATTGTATCGGAGGGAATGGGCTGCAGTGAGGAGGTATGCTTGATCACACTTATGAAGTGATTTTGCTCGATTCTTTCCATATGTCGTTTTCACATCTTCAATCCGCTATCTGTTCGCTATACCCCGTTTAGATTGTCTTTTTCATAATCTCTCGCTTGCTTTATAGAGCTAGAAGCTCCAAATTGAACAGAATTGCGGCACTGTGCTTTACGCGATAATGCTCTTGATTATAGGTACTTACCATCGTTTCTATGTTGTCTGTACCTGCAATATTTTTCCGACCGAAAGGCAGGGAAGATGAAGCCGATGCTAAGAAAGAAAAATTCCAGGTTAGGTTTTTGAACTCGTGCTGATTTATGGCACTCTCTAGCGCTTTTTTCCAGGTTCCCGAATCCGACCACTTGACGTTTTTGAATGTGTACCTGCAGT